AATGAAGTGTCCAGCTTACAGACAGTAACAGTGTTGTTGCTCGGACATCATAATGATTAGATGCCTCAGCTGCTATTATAAAAAAATTCCACAATACAATTTGAATGTTTAACATGATTTGGGTTTCTTGCATTAAGCATCTAAATGAGGCTAGCTTTCAATTCATACTGTTTTTCTTAATCTCTTGAAATATATGTGATGGAAGAAGCCGCCACCTTAATGAACATTAAAAATGAATACAAGTCTCCACATATTTTCATGGGTGTATCACTGTAAGCCAGGGGTTCTTACACTTTTTCAATAGGGGGCCAGTTGAAAGGTGCTGACAATGGGCCACCAAGGCAGTGCAGGCAGGGGCACAGGGCGGTGTGGGGGGCACATGCGCATGCGCACCTTTTCTCTGAGCAAGTCCAAAACGATCTCGGCACAAGCAACCCGGCGCCTCACTGCGCACATGCATGCACACACGGCCAGTCCAAAACCTCTATGGCGGGTCAGATAAATGGACATGGTGGGCCGAATCCAGCCCACGGGCCATAGTTTGAGGACCCATGGTGTAAGCTATTCCAATGGATAAAGCTACTTGACATTTATCAAATTTTTAATGAATTAATAGAGGATGTCATGGTGTGTGTATATAATTGCTACTTAGTTATTATCTTACTGAAGTTGTACTAAATTCATAATATTTCTAACAAGGAGTATGGAAGTTCTTCAATTTCAAAAGCCAGTATTTCAAATACCATTTGTTGCCTGTTGTTTCCCACCTCAATGGCCTGGATTGAATCAGTTTACCTTCACAATTGTCTGATCAATGCCCTTGCCAGTTTGACAGTTTTAGCTGTCAAAAAGTAACAAATTGACAAGGTGAGACTGCATATAAGATAAATTGTGAGCCACTGACAATTGTCAGTTGCCTACCTGCCAGTTGCAAAGCACTGCCAGAAGGGGAAAAAGCAACAGAGTGTGTGCAACAAGAGTGAGCACACACATAAGAGAGAGCACGCGCACAATGAAATCCTTTCAATTTGTAGTACTGAACTAAATTACCCAATTATACAAAGAGCACTACTGTAGAAGAGAGAAAGTAATGAAAAAAGAAGGGTTTGCTCATATTCTCCAAAAGGAAAAAAATCTCCTCTACTATTGAGTGCAAAGGCAAGAGCACTCCCTTTTGATAATGTACAATGAGCGCTGGGATAGGCTCCCTGCCAAAACACTTTTGCCTAGCTCTAGCAAGTTCCAAGTAGTGATCCATACAGGCAAAGAGCTTCTATTTTGGGACTGCACAGAAACCCAAAAGAAGAACCAGAGAGAGTTGCTCCTGAACCGAAGAGTTTATCATACATCCAGACTATAATCTATAAAACTCAGAACACCACAAAAGGAAAATGGTTATTTTACATGAAGCATTCTCCTATGGCCTTTCATTAAGAATTATGTTAAGCAATCATCTAAGTGAAAAAAAAAGAGACAGTGATACTTTGATGATCAATGGGTGCCTTTATTACAAGCTGTATCTCACAAAAATTATAAGGAATTTTGGGCAATTGTCTCAAGCATCTTGGTCATAGAGGTATATGTTCCCATGGTGATTTATCTGGATAAAAATCAGCTGCAACTAAATTACAGCAAATCCAAAGTAATGGTCTTTGCCAAAACATGAAAAAAAATTCCTAGAAATTTAAGGGAAAACACTGATTGATTGATTGATTGATTGGCATTTTTCTATATGCCACACAGCTCTCTAGACAGTTTACATAATAAAAAACAACATAAAACTCCATAAATAAAACAATTAAAACTGCTGTACCAATAAATAATAAAAATAAGGTAACATCACCCTCATTGCAAGAATACCAAGTAATAGTTTAACAACAGATTGGAAAAATCTTAAAACGTCAGAATTAAGAATAGTAAAATTTACTTTGAAATACCAAATAAAATCAAATTCCAACTAAAATAATCAACAATTAAAATGCTCCTTGCATAAAAATGTCTTGGTCTGGTGCCAGAATGTGTATAAGGGCAGTGCTTGGCAAGGATCTCTGAGAAGGCCCTACACTGTAGAACAAGTTAAGCAATTCAAATAACTAGAAATTAATTTTCATTATAAGAACTCCTGGGTCTATCATCAGACAGGTGTATTCAATGTGGCCAGCTTTCACTTCAGAAAGAATAGCTATGTGCAGGCTGCACTTCAAGTTTCAGGGCAAAAATAATACCCCAAGTATCATATGGTGTCCCTGTTTGGCTAAATGCATTGAATTGTTTAATTGAATGGATACAATCCTCGTTCCTGCAGAAAATCTTGGGATTGCCAGGGTGTGTCCCCTATTCATTACTGTGCTTGGAGACTGGACAATTCCAACTAGAGACAACAGCCTGACTGAACTCCATTAGGTTTTGGTTACACTTATAAAGCAGATTGTGACACATCATCTTAGGTCAGACTCCATACTTCCAATAGGGATTTCCTCACTTGTCAAGAAATTTAAGCTGTGGGGTATAGACCCTGATCAATTAGGGCTTTTAAGTCAAAAGCAAGCTTTCCAGGTAATTAAAAGGAGAATCATGGATATAGAATTCCAGGAGTTGAGTGCTGCCCATAATAAGTGTTTCCCTCCTGCACCTACATATTTTGATCAAAATAGGACCAAAGGACACATTTTTGCCATTCTTAAAGGGCCACAAGAGCACAAGGCATATTCTTTGGCAAGACACAATGCCATGCTGTCTGTCCTAATGTCGGGTAGATTTAAGGGGATGCCATATCTTAAAAGGCACTCCCAAAGTGGATGAGCCTTGGAAACAGTATCCCACATGCTTTTGCACTGCTCACTTTTTGAGGAATTGCACGCCAGGTTTCTAGGTTCGATCTTGATCAATATGAGAGCTCGGTCAAACCAGAAAAAGATTTGATTTGTCCTATCCACAGAGTCAGTTAGCATAATGGACAGAACACTATGCAGTTCTTTTTCTGTTGGAGATTAAGAGTTGGTTTAGTGCCCATTAGCAAAGCTGAGTTTGAGGAATCTCTGCAGGACTCTGTGGATTTATGTAATTTGTATTGTTATGCCAATAAAGGGACCTACTACCTACTCATTTAGATTTGTTTCAGGTCAGTTGAGCAACATTTTAATTATTTTTAGCTGTAGTTAACATGCAAATACCGCCTCAAGCAGGTTATAGTTCGTTACTGGTTTTTCAGCGCCAGGTAAAGACCTTTTTATTTAAACATCATTTCAATTGTTAAAACATATGATCTGGCCTGGGCAACTTCTTCTTCCTTCTCTTTCTCCTCCTATATTTTTATTTTATACTGATAATTTTAATTTTGTATTTGTAAATCAATGTATTTTTTGTATTGTTATATTTAATGGTAATTTATTATGTACTATTGTATTTCAATGTATTTTATCATGTTGTAAGCCGCCCCGAGGTTTCGGCAAGGGGCGGCATAGAAATGCTATAATAATAATAATAATAATATAGTTGCACAGTCTATCTTGTGATATTATTCTCAAGACAGTTCAACATACAGCAGTCAATTAATCCTGGCAGAATTCTACCATGAAAATAAGACAAATAAGTGTCTATTATTTGGTGTTTCCAATGTTTGTGTATCCTGTTATCAAGAAGCAAATGTAAGGGTGCAGCTTTGTCATGCAGCCAGGTTGATAAAGCTGAGGGCAAGTATATAAGCATCCACAGAGCTTATTAAAACTTATTCCAGGCTAGCCACTGAGGTCATTTGCTTCTGCTTATTTTTGGTTTCTTATTTTTTTTTTTAAACTTTATTAACTACCCAGATATACATTAAAAACTGTGGATTATGCAGTTGGCTTCCTCAACTGATTCCCTTTTGAAGGAAGGCAAAATGTTTTTTTTTAATTCTACAAAGCCTGTAGCTTAAGTTGTTGAGTGTTACTGCTTATTTATTTCTGTGTTATTTAATGTTTTAATTGTTGTGTTCATTTATTGATTCAATTTATACATTCCCTTTTCCTTGATGACCCTGCAGAGCATGATCCTCCTCCTCTCCATTTTATGCTCACAACAACCATATGAGGTAGGTTAAGTTGAGGTTCAGTGACAAGTAAGTTTCATGGTTGAGTGGGGACGTGAACTTGGGTTCCCCCATCTAACACTCTAACCAGTTATCCACACAACTCTCTACAGAAACTGCTTTGGAAACAGTTGCATAGAAAAACAGTATATAAGAACTTCATTCATGTAGGAGATAAGAAAAGCAAAACTAGAGGTAGCAGGCGAACCCTACTCATGTATATAAGAAGACACAGCAGGGAAACTAGACTACCAGCATGGAAAGACTAAAATATATCAGTGAAAGAAGTATCAGAGTACACTGAGCAAATTAGACAGCATTTCCTACAAATAACATGCTATAAATAGAAATGGATGTGCAAACAGTAGTACATTCAACTTTTTCCTTGACAGGACCAAAAATAAAATAAACCTAAAGGGATTGAACCCTGATAGTGTTGCTTTCTGAGCTGTATGAAGGAGACCAAGTTCCAATGTTGCATCAATCAAAAGGTTCTCTCACACCCGCTGGCCTCCATGTTTGAGGCCTCATGGAGAACAGGTGAAGTTCCAGAGGATGGGAGGGTGGCGTCAGTGGTCCCAATTTTCAACATGGGGAATTACAGACCAGTTAGCCTCATGTCCACTGTAGGAAAAACAATGGAAAGGCTCATAATACAGAGAGATCTAGTGATGCTAGATAGGGAAGGGAGGCTGGCAGCCACACAACACGGCTTCCGCAATAACAGGTCCTGCCAGACAAACCTTGTGGAATTCTATGACAAGGTTTCGAGATGGCTGGATGGAGGGGATGCAGTGGATGTGGTTTACCTTCATTTCAGCAAAGCCTTTGACAAAGTGCCCCATGATATCCTGGTTGAGAAACTGAGGAGTTTTGAGATAGACCAATGCACTGTCCAATGGATTAGGGCTTGGTTGACTGACCGAAAGCAGAAGGTAACCATTAGTGGGGATTCATCAGGATGGTGGCCAGTGACAAGCGGGGTCCCCCAGGGCTCTGTCCTGGGGTCCATCCTGTTTAATCTTTTCATAAATGACATGGAAGAAGGTGGTGAACAGTCTGATCAAATTCACAGGCGATACTAAAACTGGGGCAGTGGCCACAATGGAGGAGCAGGTACTCCAGATCCAAAAGGATCTAGACAGACTATGGAAGTGGGCAGGAGACAACAGGATGGAGTTCAATGTGGATAAATGCAAGGTCCTGGGGCATAGGAATGGGTGTCTTAAGTACAGGTTAGGGGACAAGTGGCTAGAGAGCAGCATTTGTGAAAGGGATCTCGGGGTGCTGGTTGACTGCAGGCTAAACATGAGTCAGCAGTGTGATGTGGTGGTCAAGAGGGTGAACGCCACCCTTGGTTGCATGGCCAGAAGCATGGCTTCTAGATCGAGAGAGGTAGCACTCCCATTCTATACGACTCTGGTGTACCCGTAACTGGAATACTGTGTTCAGTTCTGGGCTCCACATTACAGGAAGGATATAGCCAGGTTAGAGTCAGTGCAGCATAGGGCCACAAAGTTGGTGGCCAGTTTGCAGGGAAAGCCGTATGAGGCGAGACTGAGGGAACTGCACCTTTTCAGCCTGGAGGAGACTCAGAGGGGTTCAGGTATGTGAGGGTTTTCTCAGAAGTATGCAAGAATTACAGCTGCAAACTAGAAAACAAAATTCCAAGGGCAATACATGACAACTGTACACATCATCTAAGATTATTTAAGAAGAGTAGGATGTGAACGCAAATAACAAGAACCTACTTTGTTCTCCTTCTGTTGTCTTTGGCCGGCTCCTGTAGTTCCTGATCCCTTCTTCCTTTCTTCCTCCTCCCACTTGTTCCCTTGTCTCTCCACTTCTCCCCTCTGTGCGCATTACTCAAGTTGTTCTTGCTCTTGCTCTCCCACTCCCTACATTAATCTCCTCGTGTTGACAGCCAGGGTTTAAATATCCCCCAGCTGGTAGCTATGACCCGCTTGCCTATTTGTACTGCTCTTGAAGCAGAAACTATCAAAGACAGCCTATGAATACCCAGAATTTGATGCTAATCTCATATGCAGCCACAACAGTCAACAGACAAGGCAAGTTGGCTCCAGCACCAATATAGGGATAAAGGAAACAACCACCCCCACTGGCTGCTGACACTGTCCTTCAGCTTGAACACCTAGCATAGTTTGGTAGTTGCCATGAAAGTAATGAGATTCCACCAAAAGATCTCAATGGACATTATCAACATTGCCTTAACACTATTAGGAAACATTTTTGAAAGCAGACCTAAGTATAATTTTGTTATGCCTTTGCTAGTCCTCCCAGTCAAGAATTAATAATCTAACATCCAAAACAAGTGGACAGAAAAACCAGCCACCCACAGAAGTATTATTAAACTAACCTAGTCTGGAAAAGAAGTTAAACAAGTATGTGTCCATACAGTGCCTAAATATAATACCTACTACTAAAATAAAAGAATAAAATCCTCCCAAGCCCTTGAGACATCGGGGATTAAGTGCATATTTAGTATTTATATCTACTTCTATTCATACATGGCTGAAATACCATAGAAACTATCTATGGATACATCCAGACAGAGCAGGGGTGTTTTGTGGGAAGAACATCAGCATGTTGATATACGACATTATCTGGAAACTGAGCTATGAGAAACTTGAGTATCTTCACCATTCTATTATACTGCAGCAACAGTTCATGGTTGTGTGATGGAATATACAACAAAGTAGTGTAAAAACCCCGGGGGGGTGGGATGGGAAAGAGTACATGTTAATCCTGTAAGGAATTCCGACTCAAAAGCCTGGGTAAAAGCTTCATATAGAGCAGCCCTCAATTTCCAAGTTCTATTATTGGAGGGTGCTGGACTACCTATCCATCTCTGCATCTCAGTTTTATCTTTCTGAAGTTGTAGTTAATATTGACACTATGGGATATGTGCTCAAACAAGCAGACATTTTTGAAGGAAGCTTCATTAATTTAATATATTGCCTCAGCAGTGATCTTATGCATATGAGAAAGATATTTCTGACACTTTCTGATTCAATATTATCAACCAGGTACCCTAAATGGAGAGATATCGAAATAACTGTTTGGAGACAAAGGTACTATGCAAAAGTAGAGCAAAGCTTCATGCAGTTTTCCACATGAGTCAACACAATTTCTGGCCCCACTGAAGCCTTCTTGAGACTGTGGAATAATGGATATGGAAAAGGATACTTTTCCTTTCCAAGTAAATGCCTTAACTGCTCAAGAACTAAGATCCAGAGAAGTCTACCATAAATTCAGGGAAGCTAATTTGGACCAGTGTCTTTCAAACTGCAACTCACCAATTTCTATAGCATATGAAACTGAGAGGAGTTTCAAAATAGTTTGCCATATCATGTAACTCTCTGTCTGAAGTGGAAGCAAAAAAAATCCCACAGTGTTCACATATGCCCTTGAGTAATCTACAATAGTTCTTTGAACCACCACTATTAGTTTAGTGATAATATTTTGATCCAAGGATTATATTCAAAATAATCAACAGAAATTAAAAACTTACTGCTACATAGTTTGAATCGATGCCTGTATAGGTAGTTCCTGAAAAACTCCAAGAAGGTAGAATAGAGATGAGAGGGTTTTACCCTTTAAAACAGCCTAAAACTATTCTTAAATAAAACAATAAATATAATACTATCATAGTCAAGATTCCTAATGCAAAATAACTCGCATGTTTTGTCTGCTTAGCACAAATCAGCACAAGGAATTTGCCTATCATTCATAGTTCAGCGTAAAACATTTTAAAGTTAGGGAAAATACTGTGTCTCATGGCTTACAGTGGTCCCTTTTTCAGTTTGAAATCTTTGTTGCATTAAAAATGGTGAAGCCACCAGATTTTAAATCAAATTATCTGTTTTTTAAAGGCTATGTTTCAAAGCTGAGAAGATCTTGCAGTAAAACATGGAACTGCAAGAGACCTACTGTAGCTGCTCTTTTACAGCTGAAACCTAGTCTTTATAGTTACAAGTAAACCTTTGTGTGCAAGAAAAGACCACTGTCTCCATTACTACTGCTCATACAATAACCCTTCCACAGTATCCAATTTTGGAGTAAGAAAGAAGCAGAAGCATTAATTTACCACTAAGCAAATGGGATTACAGATTATGGTACAAGTCCTTCTTAATGCTCTAAGAGACACCAGTGATCTAAGAAAGGCTTTTAATTTTCTGCTTTGCTGTTAGTATTTGTACTTAAACTGTGACTGCTGTCTCAGAAAGAAATCACATGTTGGGTAAACTTATTTGCATTCATTATTAGAAAACATGTGATCTTATTTCTATGCCATGGAAAATGTGCACCAATCAAATCAATGTAATACAGTTTTACAACAGGTCATAAATGTACATACATAAGTAGCAAGATGTGTAAAAAAAACCCTACAGCTTTACCAGAAATGTATTATCATCCCATCTTTCTCTAAACCATACAAGCAAATATTTGGCACCTCACTAGAGCCCCCAATATCTAGCAATCAATTTTTGGTTTGTCAGCCATTTTGCAGGGGGAGAATGAAGTGCAGGTAGGCACTGTGAACCCCAAATGGCTTGTGATCATGATATGGAGGGGAGCAAGCCAGTGTCAGGCACCCCTAAATACCGCTTTACCAATTGTAAATTATACAATATTTTCTCTTTCTCTTATACAATATTGAACTGCCTGATGTCTTGTTCTGAACTTGGACCATTGCCCACGCTGCCAGCCTCTAGTTAGAGCCCAGCATCACACCAGCACCCTAGTCCCAGTGTTCTGCCTGCCTGTCAGTCACCTATGTCCCAGCCCTTACATACTGGGCCAAAAGAAAGTACTATAGCATTCTCTTTGCCAACTATTGTGCCCTTGGAACTGAATTGTGTAATCAGGGATCAAAAAAATAAGACATTTAGGTTGCCAAAATTTCAGATTTTAGTTTTATGTCAAGAGATGACAGCAACCACCAGCTGATAATCCACAGAACAAGCTTTTGCTTTAAAAATGGTCTATGCTTTAAAGCAGTGGTTTTCAACCTTTTTACAGCTGGGGACCGAAAAAATGGGAAATTTTTGTGGGGACCACAGAGGCAGAAATAAAAAGCATGATCTAAATAATACAGCAGGAGATTTCCTGCCGGTTCGAGCAAAAAAGTCCTGATGAGGAGCTGCAGAGGGGAGGCATATAAGAGCAGCAACTCAAGCTCAGCCTGTTCTTGCTGCTGCCGTCACCAGAACAACTGAGCTCAAGCTACGATCACAGCAGGAACATCTGAAAGATGGCTGCGCCACTTGCCTTGTCAGGTGGTGCAAGACCAGAACCAGGCAGGTTGGGGCCACTTCCATGGCGTGCTGAGGGGGTGCTGGTAGCATCTGCAGAGCTGAAATGTACGGGCAGCAACTTGCACTCAGCCAGCTCTTCCAGCTCACTTGACACTGCTGCTGTCACCAGGGGTGGGATCTTAGCAGGTGGTGGGAAAGAGCTCTGGTGTCACATAAAACAGAATCGCTGTCACAGTTTTGGGTATCACTGGGAAAAAAATCCATCTCTCTGTTATTTTATTTATTTATTTATTTATTTATTTATTTTATTTTATTTTATTTATTTAAACAACTTATATGCCGCCTCATCGCATGAGCCTCGGGGCGGCTTACAATCAAGTTACAGAGCTATTACATTGTTACTTGTATTTTCTACCACATATTTGTGTGAAAAGTTTTTCAGCCCTGTCACTGATAAAAACCAGAAAAACAGAATGGATGTCAGTGAAGTGCTTCTTTCAGAAACAACACTGCAGGCACAGCAGATTTCACAGTAGCCTTATTTGAGTTAAATATTGCTCTCTAAAAATTTCAGTTGTATTTGATTACATATAATTTCAATATTTTATTCTTTTTTAGCATTTTTACTGCTCAGTTTCTCGTTAGAGAATTTTCATTTTTGGTACTATATTTAACAACTAATACACAAAATACTGTATTATATATATAATGCTTTTTATTTCTGCCTCAGTGGTCCTCCACAAAAATTTCCCATTTTGTCGGTCCCCATCTGTAAAAAGGCTGAAAACCACTGCTTTAGAGTACTTTGTTCTAGGAATCTGTCAGTCATGTGGAATTTTGGGGCAAGATGGAAATTCCATAAATAAATGATGTGGCAGACCATGTACGTGCCAGACCTGGAAGTATCTTCTTCAGTAAAAGTCTTGTGAAAAAATTATACTAGCTTGCATATCTGTGCACCATTTTCAGGATCACTCCTATTATGGTAGAATCCAAGAACTGCTGTCCAAAGATGGAAGAGGCTACAGATGGTGCCTCTGTCTTGATTTGGAGAATTCCTCATAACTCACTCTATAGTAGGATTTCTGAACCGTATGTGTAGCCCTTTGCACAAGGCTGGAAGGGCTGATATGAGGAGGAAAGAAAAGAAGCACCAGTTTCCAACAGTCCAGTTGAGCATATGTCAGTCTGGATCCAATTCAGATGTGCATTACTGAAACATTTTATATAAATGCTAGGGAACAAATGTGTTAAACCAACATTGT